ACCAGAAGTGTCTGGTTGAGGTAATAATAAATAAGGAACATTTAACCAAATATGAATATTACTGAGCAGCACATCTGATCAGACTTCCAGAAGACCTTTGATAAATTGACCAAAGAACCAAACTGCATGATTGTTTTCTGTGACAAAGGTTCTTGTGTTTCAGTGGTTCCATCAAAGAAAGTTCAGTTTTAGGAGTCACTGGAAACTCAACACTGACATGATAGAAATAATATTCACCTCCAATGTGTGTCTCTTTATTCATCGGTGTTGTTTGTTGACTTCTGGGTTTCTGTGTCGTCATCCTGCTTTCTTGAATAACTAAATATTACAAGGAGACAAAGAAACTCGATCAGAGGACAGAAAGTCATTCAGTAATTACTGAAAATTCAGCAATGAAAAATATTTTTCTCTGAAAAGAAAGAGATGAAATTGATGTAAAAGTGTTTAAATCATTTGACTGAATCCAGAGTGAAATGTGTTGTCATTCTAAACTGAGCTGCTCCTTGTGATGTCATGAGAGGAAACACTGGTTGGTTCTGGTGTGACATATTTGTATAAAAGGCCGCCACGTGATCAAATGTGTTTTTCCTCTGAGCAGAAAGACTCACCAACAACCAGCCTGATGTCTGCTGACCTCCTCCAGCTGTTTAACCGAGGGAGGAAACATCTGTACAACCCTCCGTCACTGGGCTTCACGTTGATGATCTTCAGCGATACGTTGCAGTGTTTCAGCTCCTCTCTGAGCAGCTCCGTCCTCCCAGCGTACACCGGCATCTTCATGTCCTCCTCATCCTGGTTGTCATGGTAACGGTGGACATACCTGTCCAGGCTCCGTGGATCTCTGGGGTCAGGTGGGAGGTCGATCCTCCACCACTCTACTGTCAGCTGCTCCTCCTCCACTGGAGGCTCCACGTGACACGGGAGGATGACGTCATCACCCAGAGAGGCTACGATTGGCTGAGAGGAACAGACCACCTGAGGAACACCTGAGACCAGCAGGAAACACAGCAGTGTTTACAAAAGCTGCCTCATGTCCAACACTGATGCAGAACAAGAGGCAGGAGTCCTGCAGTACCAGATGTCAGCACCAGATGTCAGCCTGGACCACATGAACACACACTGACAGCACAGAGTCCCTTCAATGTTCTTTTTTTACCTTCTCATCTATGCCGGACTTCATCACAACAAATAAGTACATGTTCGCCGTCAAGGCACTGCAGGACATTGGAGTATCGTGCGACACTAATCTGTTGTCCATGTTCTTAGCAAAAGCAGAAACGACAAATGAAAACTCAAGCAAGGGATTTATCGATGTGAAAAAAGTGAAAGAAGCCTTTGTGGAGTTCAAACACTGTAAAAAAGGAATGATTATACCGAAGGTGACGACAGTGAACGGGTGGATAAACTAGCAGCAGGAACAACTCATCTACTCACCCTGACAACCTGCTGCACGAAGGCAACACCAGGCTGCTGACTGGAATTAGAATCAGCACAATGAATACAGTTCAGAAGACGGAAAAAGCATGTTTACCTGATCACTTCTTTCATCTATACTGGGGGAAAAAATTAAATTAAATTAACTTTGTACAGCTCAGTAGATATGTCAATGCTAAATCTTTTCATAACCATTCATGTCTGTCTCAGGAGTTTGTTGTTTAAATTAGTAGATGCTTGAATGAAATCTGGCAATAACTTGGTTTGATCTCAACACACACCCATGAAACTTAGATTTTTAGATTACATGCAACTTCGGCATCTCCATGACACGATTATCTCTGCTGTACATTTAAAATAAACTCCCATAAACTCGCTGCACAACTCAGAAATAAAGGCGCACCTTCCGAATGCAGAACCTGCCTGAGAATTAGCGCGTTTTTAGTCGTTTTCTGTGTAAAAGCAATTTCTTCACCGTTCACATCACTTTAAACGTAACACAGCAAAGACGAAGAGCCGATAGAGAATTCGGCTCAGTTAATTTTCAAAGATACTAATAAAATTTCAGCTGACGGCTAACTTACAACTCTAGCATCTTGATTAGCATCTTGAGCTAAAAGCAGCGTTGAACAGCGACAGTAGTGAATGTGTTACCGTCCAGTGGTGCGCTGAGGACCAAAGCTGACCAGAGAGTCACAGTCCAGAGTGACAAAGTGGGATTCAGCTCCTTAAAGCTCCTCTTGTTGGTGGACATGACGGATGAACAGTGAAGCTCCTCCTGCAGTTCAGATCGGAATGAGGGCTGAGAGAGCCGGTACAGTTTTAAAATGTGGCGTCTTACGTAAGTGACGTAGCACGTATGGAACCTTATTGGCTGGGTTACTCTACGTCACAGCGGTTGCTAAGAAACGGTTAATGATTAGAAATGAAAAATGAAATGAAAAATACTTTATTCATCCCAGAAGGGAAATTCAATCATTAGTGATGTAGTGCTGGGTGGACCACGAATGACTGACATCATGTTGATTGTTTTCCATCAATTCAGTCATATTTTAGTTGATAAAAGGTCAGAGAGACACACGAGAGCCCAGAGTCCAAAGCAACGCCTTCAAATTAAATATTCATAATCAACAAAGAAAACGAAGAATAAAGCAGCAGAAAAGAGTGACTGCTGTTATGATACTGTTGTCATGAGGGTTGAATTGATAAATGTAATAAACTGAACGTTAAATGTGATTTCTTGTCTGTGACTTCTCAGGATTTGTTCTTTTAATAAATCAGTTTGTTCTTCTTAAATGTTCTTTGGCTCCTCAAAAACAGAATTACACAGAAAACGTGTTTTATTTCTCAATGATCATCTGACTGAGATGATATTTTTTTTAAATCAGCTGGTAAGCAGCCTGATGCAACAGTCATGGGTTTAACATGAATATGTGAGTGTGCTTGGTTGTCTGTCTCTAAGTGTAGCCCTGTGATAGACTGGTTACCTGTCCAGGTGAACCTGCCTTCACCCTGAGTCAGCTGGGATAGACTCCAGCCCCCCATGACCCTGGTGAGGATTAAGGTGTAGAGATGATGGATGGATGGATGGATTAACAAACAGGATTTGGGGAAATCTGTTCTCACCTTGACATGACTGTTTTTCTTCTGTAAATTCTTGTAAAAAACCAAAACAAAAAAAAAAGCCAAGTTAAATTGACCTTGACTGAATGTGGGTGAAGCCTGTTTATCGGCAGTGTACGGTTGCTGGACAAAGGCGTCTGTAGGAGCTTAAATCTATTTCTTTGGTTCTGGATTTGGTTCTTATTTTACCACGATTATTTCTATTTGGCTTTGATTTTTTGTTCAACAGTAACTTTGATATAGATTATGATTAACATTTCTATTTTGCTAAATTTATCTGTTATTTGGTTAAATGTTGTTAATCATATTTTTGGATATTTGAATTCTGTGTTCGTGTGGTGTTTGGGTTTATTGATTTGTTTTTGATATTTTGGTTCACTATATTAGGGTCCCTTAAATTTGCAAGGGCTCTTGGGAAATGAATGATGGCATGGAGCCAAATAGTTTTTTGACTGCTCATACTTTTGTATCCTCGTTTTGCTTTATGTTTCCGTCTGTAAATTTTATTTTTTGTGAACTAAAGAATCCTGTTTAAACTGCAACTTGGTGTCAGCTGGATTTTATCTTTGGAGTACACCCAGCAAGGCATACAATGTGGATATTGGAAAGCTACGGGGAAAAGTGAGTCAAGCTGGGCTTCATGAATTTTAGACCATACAGCGTCTTTGTGTTGGTGACGCTATCTAATCGCTGTACTGTAAAACCACACCTGATCATCACCTCTCTTCTGCATTTACACCTGGAACAAGAAAGATTTTATCTTTTCAGAAACAGACCAGTGTTCACACTCCCTTCAAGCTCTCTGTTGGTTTCCATCAATTGGCTTTTTTTTTTACCCTCTGAAGGCTCCTCAGCGTTCACCAGGTGGATGCAACCAACCAAAACCAGAACACAAAATAGTCCAGTGAGCTGATAGAAACTGTGACATATACAAAACTTGTAAAAAACTTGTAAATTCTTGTAAAAAAAACAAAACAAAAACAAAAACAAAAAAAAAAGCCAAGTTAAATTGACCTTGACTGAATGTGGGTGAAGCCTGTTTATAGGCAGTGTACTGGACAAAGGTGTCTTTGTGTTGGTGACGTTATCTAATCACTGGCCTGTAAAACCACACCTGATCAGGTTGTAGGTGAGTTCATCATCAGCTGTTTTATTGTTTATTGTCAATTGTTTATTGCTTTATCAAAGCTGGGAATCTTTTCATCCTCACTCAGGGAAGAACTGGTTGTGTTTCTGGTCACTGATAAGTCCGTGTGGGAGTCCTCACGGTGGGTCACTTCCTGGTTGTTAAGAACAGATTTTACAGATTGTTTTTCAGGACTGAAAATACACGAAAATATCACAAAAATTCAAAAAAAATCTAATTTGAATTTTCATGTCTGTTGCAAAATAACATATAAGTCAAATATACAAGTAAAATCGTGTGTATAAAACATTTCTGAAATGCACACAAATATCAATAAAATTACAAAAATATGCTAAATTTAAATATATCATGATAATAATAAAAACAACTATGGATAAAAACTCGTCACATTCTCGACAGTTTATTATTGTAATTATAGCATGTGTTTGTTCATTAACAGTACATTCATTTTATTGGTGGATTTTAATGTAAAGTTTTGTGTAAAATCTCTTTTATGACATAATCTGAAAACAACAGTTGACTCTCGCAGTTTTACACCAACAACTGTACAATTATATTACATTAATTATAGAAGAAAATCCAACTATTAATGGCTCTTTTCTGCAGTATAAAAGGCGATTATTTGTATTAAAATGTTATTTGACCACATTTGTAATTCATTTAAATGTTGTCCTAAGTTTAAATAACCTTAATTTAACATGAAATTGCTATCCTCTGACTTGTGCATTTTATTAACCTTCATGGTGTAGTTCTATCCAGGAGTACTGATCCACCAGTGACTGGACCTTCCAGACATAGAAGTCTTTATACTACAATCACTGAGACTCATTCACTGACCTCAGATCGTCTTTATTTCACCATCTGTTTGACAGATTGAGAAACAGACACACAACTCTCCATACACACTGACAAAAATATTTTATTAAATAATGAAATACTAAATTAAAATTAATATCAATTAAGTATTATATTAAATAAATAATTTTTAAGTTTCTGTCAACCAAGTTGCCACAACTTTGTGTTATTCATCGCCAACTTTTCCAACAGTCCTTCCACTCTGTTGCATAACTTCCTGTTGGGCCATGTGCTTTTGTTGACGTCTGGAAACCAAAACCCGCCTTCTCATGCAGCTTCCTGCGCTCTCATTGGTCCAGCCGTTGCCATGGTGACAGTATTTGTAACACACTCCAGAGTCACACCAGTTCTCCCACTGACCGAGTTTATATTTTTCCTGCTATCAGATAACAACTTTCTACAGCTCAGAGTTCATTTAAATCCTCTGACGACAGAACAGAAAGAGATAAGGACTGAATTGCTTTGATTTGTTCCTTGAGTTCTTTCTTCTGACAGCTGCTAACAACACTGGAGAAACATAGTGGATGTACATTATAGATATTTTACTACTGACATCTCTAATCTGTCTCTTTACTCGTCTCCTCCCTGTGATATGAACTCTGCCGGCACTTCAGCCAAACAGTTTTAAGGTTGAAGAATTAAAATAAATAAATAAAGCTGCTCCAGTGTTGGGACTTTAAATCCTAAAAGAAAAAAAAAAGTGTTTTTATTAAGTTAGCTCAACTCGAATTTATAGTTTTAAGACAACCAACGCAGAAATCTGAGTTTAATTTACACACAATATTAAGTTGACGCAATTAAATGCATTTTTTGCGTCATGAAAATGTGTTTATTGTGTCTAAATCATTAAATTAGAATTTTTATCTTGGGATCAGGTTCTTGGACAATTTTGTTTTAGTTAAATAACATGTTTTTTCCTCCAAACGACTATTATAAAGCAGAAGCTGATTAAAATCCTGCTGACAAATATTTAGAAATGACAGATTTTCATCTGGTTTTAAACACATCATTGAACCACACAGCTGAGCTAAAATATTTGGTTTATCATTGTTATATTAACTCGCTTTGGGTTTTATTTTGAAATCTCACGCGCTCTATGTAACCTGCTGCTAAAAGCACTCCCCTGTGTCAGCGGAAATTATGGTTTGTGGTTCTGGTAAATGCAAACATTTCCATCTTGTCCCAGAACGAACAGGAAAAAACACTTTGGTTTCCACTACAGGGTCAAACTTTTCTGTCATGTGGAGCTTTAAGATGAGAAAGTTGAGATCCTGTGGATGGAAATCCTCTTCCACACCACAAACACCTCGTTTAGGAGGTTCAGTGGAATAAAATCTGTCTCCTCAAGTCAGACCTGAAAGGAAAAACCCAGATTCTGTTTGTTTTTCCTGATTAACGCCTCGTTAACGGAGCCTGTGATGCGGTTTCCATGGTTTCACTTCTTGACGTCTGCTGGTCCTCCTCAGATCTGGACTCTGGGCCGACGTTCTATTCGACGCTGAACCTGGACGCCATCTGACCCGTCCGGATGTTCTGGAGGAAGATCCTCAGCTTTGAATATTTATACAAACCTGCGTACTTGAAGGAAAAGTGTGTCTCCGTGTTGTCGCGTGATGTCTGTTTGTCGTCAGTTTTAATCGGTTTCTTGCTGATTTGTGGACTTTGTGTCGTTTTCATCACGTTTTGGTCATTTTGAGGTGAAGTTTTGCAGCTTTTTTCTTCATTTATTTGTTGTCTTGTGTCTCTTTAAACTTATTTTGTGCTACTTACGGCATCTTCATCGGTACAGTCTGTATTTGTATCGTTTGTGTTTTGTTTTTGTCGTCATTTTGACTCCTTGTGGTCGTGTTTTGTGTTTGTCTGACGGCCTTTTGACCCTTTGAAGTCATTCTGCTTTACTTTGTGGTCAAGTTGTGTGACTAGTCGTTTTGCAACTCCTGCCATCCCTCCACAGTCA